GCACAGTAGTCCTACCACTGGGACACAACCAAGGATTCTGTGGAGGTTAGGCCCATGGAAGCTTCATGAAGCGCTCGCCAGTTTACCCTTCCCTCCTCTGCAGATCTTGCCTCTACACAAGCCTCCTCTTGGCTCATCCTCAAGTGTCTCACCCTGAATTTCAGAAACATGAACAGGGGATGTGAGCCCCAAGTCATGAAGATGCAAGTGAGTTAAAATTAAAATGAAAACCTGTCCCCAAGTAAATTGGAGGGAAGTGGGGCTGGGGATCACACCTGTGCAGCTAGGAGCAGGCACAAGGAGAAGCAGTGCTACACCCTCCTACATATCTCACAGAATCACAGAAGGGGTAAGTTTTGAAGGGACCACAGTGGGTCACCTGGTCCAACCTCGCTGCTCAGTAAGGGCCATCCTAGAGTGCATGGCACAGGTTTGCATCCAGACAGTTCTTGCATATGTCAGAGGAAGATTCAGTTCTGCCTCCCTGAGCAATGTTATCCCAATTACAAGTGGGCAAAAGAAGAGAAACGCCTTTCAAAGTCAGAAAATGACACATTTCCTTGGGGTTTATTATTATTTTTCTCTTAAACACAACTTGGAAATATTCTGTGGATACATTTCTCATACTAAGAGACTACAGAATGGCTTTATGTAGCAGCAACATCCTTCTGAGAAACATTAGAAGTTATATACCATTAATACACTGTCTTCTTCACTTCTCAGAAATATCCAGTGTAAAACATGCCACATAATTTTTTCCTAGGGAATCAATTCAACAGGGTTTCTTGACAAGCCTCTTTGGTAGTGTTATGGTCAATGGTGGTCTCTCTGGATGCTCTAGGAAGGATGACCCTGGGGGAAGACAGCTGACTGGAGGATGCTGCATGTGCTCCTTGGTTGAGGATACATGTGTCAACATGTTTTCCTTGACAGAAAGACATTCTTAAGATTAAAACCTCCACTATCCAGTAAGAAGATGAGGGACATTTCCTCCACAGGAGGACCTCCATTATCTGAAAAGGTAATATGTGTTTTCTTATGCATAGGTGAGATATCAAACATGACAGACACGGAAGGTTTCATGTGGAAAAGCATTCCTTGCTGAGGAATCAGATGGCTGCACATTTGCGTCTTCCTAGAATATGAATGCCCAGTGTGTATGGCCTGTGAATACATCAGCTGATAGCAAGCTGCATGAGCATACAGAGAGTTGATAGAAAACTGCTATGTGGGCTTCATTTTTTTATATGCAAACAGGATTTCGAAAGACATGGATTGCCCTTCTTGAAACTAAAGGTGGAAGGAGACTTTTCATGAAGAACAGAGTTGATATTTTCTGCAAAGGTTTGCTGTTATGCACAGGGTCCACTTTCTTTAAGCCTTTCTGACACTGATAACAAAAGATACATACATGTGTACTACAGATGGAAATCTTTATAGCAGGCAATTCAGTAAATGCCGTGGAAGTCTGTTCAAATATTTGCTAGGGACTGAAAAGCAAAAATTATTCTTCTTTAGAAAATTGCTTTCATGGAGGAAGAAGGTCAAGGTAGCTAGTAAGTGCTTCAAATAATGTATAGGAAAGGATGATGTTTGTCTGTGACAAATAGGCTCATCACCCAAATCAGTTCTGCCTCTACCACACACATTGAAATCAATGAACCTTTAACTAGAGGAAGGAGGAGATCTGACTTCTTAAAAGCACAGAATTATTTTTCCAATGTGCAAAAAGATGCAAAATGTTGTATTTTGATTTGGTACAAGACTCTTTCTTCCACCTCCTCTGAGTGAGCATACTTTGATGCTTTCCTCTTCTTGACAACCTTGAATTTTCCCTCCTGGAGGCTGGTTATGCTGCCAAGAGAGGGCAGCAAACAAGCACAGAAACTGGCCTGGCCCTATATCAGGTGACATGGGAATTTAATTTAAGGGATCATTAGGACAGGACATCTGTGCCTTACTATAATTTCTGCTCACTTCACTTAACTTGCTGCCAATTCGGTCCTACTGCAAAAAGCAAACCTCTGAATTGCTCTCTTTTCTTTCTGTTTTCTTTTGGGCAAAAGAAATAACCCCAAACTTCTGCTGAATTATTTGAAAATAAGGCCTGTACCATGGGGACCATGGCCAGACAAACACCAGGCACTGCTTTGGGGTTGCTGTGCAGAAGGCATGGATCCTGCACCTGCATGTCCACAGTTTAACAAGGGACTAAACACACAAAACAAAGTGTACAGCTATACTGTCTTTGTTTCCATGTGTAATAGATATTTATTATTTTCTGCCAGCTTCCTACTGCAGGCTCCATTACATGCTCTGACCTCTAATGGGCAGCATTTTCTTTCAAATCCATCATTCTTGTAAAATCTGGAGCCATCCCCTTCATGTGCAAGGTTACATAATCAGATCACCACACAGCCTTAAAGACATGTTCATTACATTATCTATTGACTTGTCCAGTCTGAACTTGCTTTAGAAAAAAATAAAGTAACCTGGTTGGCTTCAACAGAGTTAATTACTTTTAATCCAAAAGGAGCTGCAGCATTTTGATCCCTGCTTCTGGAGGCAGTTGGTTCTCTAGCCCATGCTTTTGAGATTAGGACATTAAAACACAACATTCACAGTGGACTTTCGCTTAATGAGGAAAATGTCATGGCCTGGTGAAAAATGGAAGTAGAAAGAGGAAGGCTTCATGTGGGGTCTGTGTTATTGCAGGACAAAAGTGCTGTTGCTCTCTGAGGCTCAGCTCTTGCCATGTCAAACATGGATATTGGTTTTTTACCCATTCACTGGAAAACCCCTGAAGCTATACTGATGAACAAAACTAATATTTAAGGACTGGAACATACTGTGCAGAGCTAGACAGGGCTAGAATCATGGGAAAACACGAAGTGGTGGATGAAGCCTGCCACCTGTGCTATACTTAGACTAAAACACATTAATGCCAGCTTAACCTCGTGTATAAAAAAAGAAAAGCTGTGGGTCAGACCGAGACCTAGTTGTGGGAGACCTTGATGGGCTTCTCAGAGCAGGAGGCGCTGAGAGAACACCAAGCCCACAGGGAAGGTGTTGAGACTTTGCCAGATCCGGAAGGCTTCATGTCTCTGGCTGGTTAAGGGAAAACACTGCAATCCCAGGAGTGACGCAGCCAGGATACTATGCGACAACCTGCACTTTAGGGAGAAGAATATTAAAAGAGAGGAGTGTAAGGACAGGGAACAGGAATGGTGGGCTTACAACAGACAAACACCCCTCTCTGTGCAGACACTACCACCCATACCATCCAAGACCTGGTCTTCCCCAGCGTAACCTCTGTAACCTGGGCAAGAGCACTGGAGCCCAGATTAATTTAAAGGCCAGTTCAGCTGTCGGAATTCCCCAGAGGGTGTGAGCCTTGGCTGCACTTTCATGCTACAACTACATCGGCTTGGCAGCTACTGAAAGTGGTAGGACCCCTCCCACCCCACTCTCCCCTGGGGGGTTTGCTCAGGTCTGTGAGCAGCGTTAGCAGAATTAAAAACCCCAGTTCCTCCAATGTCTTTGCACAAAAGCATACTTATGTAAGTTCATCTTAAGCTGTGCAAACAACAATTAAAGAAACAAACAGAAATGAGACAGCAAAAGACTGACCATTCATTTTCAACAGGTGCTGTGGCTTGTATCACCCTCACCCCGTGATGACATATTGGCTTCATAGTGCTGCCAGCAGCTGGACTGACCCTGTGTCTGACCATCAGTGATTTTGTTTGAGCGAGAACACAGTTCACACAGAGGATGGATGAGCTTCCACTCTGCCATCTCTATGCCAACATTTTCAGCTCAACACCTCTCTATAAGGAACTACAAGAAGAGCTCTAAGCCCTTGGATGGACTTTCTAATTGGTGGTGGCTGGTGTGTCTCCATGGGAAATTGTCCTAATACTCAGTAGTTCTTTTGCTTTTTTCTTTCTCCTTTTTTTTTTTTTTTTTAAATGGAGGAGACGTTGGTTACCATCAAAACATTTTGTATATATGTGTTTTTATAATGAGCACTAGTAGGTTAAGATAAACCACTCTCAGCGGAGAGCAGCAGAAGGCTAACAGCTTGAGTACAGGTCTAGGAGACTCCAAGACATTTACCAAACTATGTGGCCACTCATGAAATTAAAAAGCCCATAAGCAGTGTTCCAGGAGTTTGCAGCAGTAATGAGACTACTAAGGCTGTTTTCTCTAAGTCTGTGATTCTGTGTGCTGACAGTGATGCAGATGAAGATATCCAGGTCCAGAACCTGCTGCAGAGTAAACTTTGTGTTGCACCTGGAATATTTCCAATGATGCCTTGTAGTGAACGTGTAGTCTTGGAAAACTTAAGTAATGCTGTGAATGGCTCAGCGTGGACCATTATGCTATTGACAGAATTTTCTGAATTAACCCTGCTTTGTGTTTTAGTCTTTCACCTCCCTTGTCAATGCTCTTAACAGCATAAATTACAACTCTGTGATACCTCTGAGGCCTTGAACAACTCACTTAGCCAGAAGACTTTTTTGTTCTGCAGGCTGTTAATGCACTGTAAGAGGATAGCCCTGACTTTGAAAAACAAGTGGAGAAAATTTTCTATGAGTCTACATACAGGCAACAGTGAGAGATATGGAGGGAGGAAAGGATGAAACAGAAACTATAGCACTTGTCATGGTGAAAAACTGTCAAAGCAGACCATGTTTAGAATACAACAGAAGTGATATTCCTTGCCCTTGTTTTATGACGGAAGGGAAACTTTTTACTTGACAAAACTAATGAAGTTGTCTGTCAAGGCACATTAACTGAGTACGGCTGAATGTGTGCCATATATGAAGGCATGCCTGTCACTCTCTCTACTTAGAGGTACCAGATGCTGCCAAACTGAAACCCTAGCTATGTTTGGCTTTACTTTGTGAGCTCTGCCAGACATGTGTTGTTTTCCATTAACAGTGTACATCTTTTCACATCTTGTAGCTGATACTGAAAAAATATTAATAAAAGAGGAACACTTGTCACCACAATGAAATCAATACATTATGAAAGGCATTCTATGAAAAAGGCTGCTGCTTTGAGAAGTAGGCCTTTGAAGGATATTTTGGTTTTGTTACATTTGAGACTTTTTTCTGTAAAGAAAACATTTTCTGACATGTTTTGTTATTTCAGGAAGCATTTTCTGGGCTCATTCTGACTAAACTTTGTTTGACATGTTCTTTAAGGGAAAATATTAGGCAATTATATCATAGAGAGTAGAGTGGAAGACTGTGTTTCTCTTCAAGGCAAGCATTTTCAGCTGAGGCTGGAAGAGGAGAGCCACAGAAATGGCATTGGTTTGAATTACTTCATTTACGTGCATTCCACGTATTCTAGTTCTTAAGCATATTTGAACACCTTTAAGACAGTTCTTCAGTGTTCTTTTTTCCTCCTGTACTTGATAGGACTGCCAGCTGCAAGTCAGTAAGACAGCTTGCATTAGGTATCAGTATAGTTTTGTATTGGTGATGTGGAATATAATTACTAAAATAGCATTGGAAACCTTTGCTCTTTCTGGAAGAAATTAAATTAAATGTGATAATTTGTAATCTGCTGAATATTCCAAATGTAGGGATGGTCAGCTCTGAGCAGAACAATTTATTCCTTGCTGAAGAGAAAAGGCAGCAAGAGGGTCTTTAGTGTCCGGATCAGCACCTGTGATGTTGCTCATGTGGATCAGCACCATGTTTCTGGGTGGCAGCTGATATGATATCTGTGACATTGTTTGTGTGTGGTGTGATTTTGAACACATAGTCTTGTGTTCTGACTCTGTTCCCTGTGTTTCAAATGAGGAGAATAACAGCTGTGTATATCTGTCTCAAAAATTTAGGGCAAGAATCAGTTATGGGCACACCATATGCTTCATCCACGTGCAGCAGAAAAGCATATTTGTGGACCCAAGAGGCTGTCGGATGTCCACAGCCCTTGTAAAGTGCCCTTGGTGCAACCAGTTTTAGTTCCTGAGATGGCAGAAAGTACTGAGCAGGGTAAGGGGGTTCCTCACTTAATCACCCCCAATGTCCCCAGTTCTGTGAGTGGTGCCTATCAACACTAGGCAGCTGCCTGCAGGCAGAAGGGGGGTCACTGTAAGCATGGGGTGGCCAGGCCTCTGCTCCTCTCTGCTCCCCATGCTGCAGTGGGGTGGGAGAGGAACAAGCACTGTGAGCATGGGTGGAGAGTTTCAGCTGTGGGAGGCTTTTGGACTTCCTCTGCTGGCGCTGATTCACTGAAGTGTTGTCTACAGTATTTATAACATTTTATTTTACCCCACAGTGTAGATGCACTTTTTCCTGTGAGGTTTAAAATGGCAAATGTAAGACAATATGTCTATAGCATACACTCTGTAAATTACACCAATGGGAGGATAATGCAAAGAAAGCAGACGGAAAAGAAAATAGGAAGATGTATAAGAGAAACAGGAGGAGATGCAGTCTGTTCTGGGCTGTTATGCAGATGAATGTTTCCAAAAGGAAAAAACAGGCTTGGACCAAACCCCAGCTACCCAGAGATTCCTGTTCTTGAGCTTCTGAGCTGCTGCATGGTTGTTGCTAGCTATTTCTTCCACCTCTATAAAATTACTACTTCTGTGTCATCTCAGGAGACACCAGTTGCTTTGCTGGTGAGAAATCCATACTTGCAGGCAATATCCTACCGTGTTGCTCTCAGACCATGGTTGACAGTCAAAGTCCCCAGGTAATTTACACTTTAATGTTATTCTCTTTCAACATCTAGTTCAGAAAAAGCATTCCCACAAGTGTTACTGCCTGCTCATACAGCTGCATACTGCCTGCAAGAACCATACAGGCAGCCCTCTTGTATGCTAGATGCGCACAAATAAAGATTGCCATCTCACTCTCCTGCAGAAATGTATTCCTTGTCCCTGCCTGAGACCTTACCAGTATGGTCTGGTGGGCCCATCAGGATGCTTAGCATGCTGACCTGCTGGCTGACTACTGCTGCAATTCCAGCCAAATGAAACTCCTGTTTCTTGTCTGAGGCTGCATTCACTGCTGACAGGCAGCTCTGCTGTACCTCTCCCAGACAGATGACTTCATGATATGTGCAGAGTTTCCTGAGCACTGCAGCAGAATGCAGCAATCAAAGGGGCAGTCATGGATACGAGTGCTGTAAAAGTATGCGGGGTGACCCTCCTGTGTCAGGGGTGGTAAGAGAAAAAGAATTCAGCACTTTGACGCGTACTACTGGGTGTGCAGTACTTCAATACAAACCGAATATATGGACCTACGTCTAAAGCTAAATTACTGCTCTACAGGAGAAGCTGAAGCACTGTTGCCATGGCTATTGCATTTGCATTTGCAAGGAAGACTCTTGCCTACATTTTGGAGCACTCTGCAGCCAGCAGCTCCTTCCTCTGGAGGTCACAAATGTCATCTTGATAACACCTGTCCCCTCCATATATTGCATTCTGACAGGAGTGAAAAATGTGTCAGAGATGGGGGCAGACCTAGAGGGTGCCGAGCATCATGCTGGTCTCGAGTGAAAGGATCCTGGCTCAGGTGGCACAGGGGAGGCATGATCATCCCCAGATTCAACAGCAATGCTTGAAGCAGGTGCTTTATTAGTGCTTGAAAGTCCAATGCACCCAAATAGATGAGAAAGGGTAGTGGTGAGACTGAGGGCTGGGACAGCAAGGCAACACACTGGAAAAATTCTCTCTGGCATCAGTCTCAGCCTCTTCTCCCCACAGTGGGTTAGGTGTTCAGAGACCTCTCTGTGCTTTGCTATGTTCAGCTGTTAAACAAGGACAGTGATCCCTATGTCACAGAAGGCTACATGTATTTTATTTACAAAGTCTTGTGATAGAAAGCATTGCACAATGGAAAGCAGAGCTAATACACTTCATATGCTTAATGGTGTATTTGGCTTTCTCTGCAACTGATTATTTGGGATTTTAAATTTTCATTTGTTCTGCCTGAAGGCCTATAAAGACTTCTGAAAAAAAAGATTGCCAAGGCATATTAACAGGAATAAGTCATTTTCAGGATCTTTTTTAATCTTAAAAGTACAATCCTATTGCAAAATTTCTGGCATTTGTGTTAGATGTTTCTCAATCAACTTGGCCTGTGGAAAATGTAAAGTCTTGTGGCTGCTACCTCACCCTGCACTGCATTCATCTCATAGAGAAAGGGCTGTGTACAAGCAGTAGGAATTCCATCTCAGGAAACCATCCATCTCATTTGACATAACAACTACAAGGGGGGAAAAAAGCGAAAACCAAAACTGAGATAAGGCAGCTTCTCCTCAGATTTCAGTGCTGGGGTGGTCTGTTTGCACTCTCTGTCTGACAGCCAGAGTTCAGGGGTACCCAAAGGAAAGGACAATACCTGAGTACCCAAGGTACTAGTGGCATAAATCTGTGAGATTTATAATTCTTCAATCAGGTAAGGCAATCTGTTGAGAACAGTTTTAATAAGCCCAGCACAGTTAGCATTAAAATCCAAACATCTCCAGTCTGCTCTCACTGAATCTTCTTAGGCATGTTTGTGAGGAACCCCAGTACAACATATCTCAGCAGCCCAGCTTGCAGAAGAAAATGGAAGAGATGCTTATATGCTGCAGCACTATAACAGCCAGCCCAGATAAGGAGGAAATTGGTTACATGGGTGTCTGTTGCAGACTTACTCAGAAATGCGAAACCCTGTTGTTAAAGTCAAATACTGAAGAGCCTGTGGAATTTCTTCGGGCAGTTTGGTTGTCTGGATATGAGAACATGCGGCAATGCCCAGGGAATGGCTCTGATCCACAGGAGCTCCACAAAGAGAAGAGCCACTACTGAAATGACAAGAGTCTTTCTTCTCAGTAAACCACCAGACAGTCAGAGACACCCCTGTACAAGGGAACTGAGAAACTCAGTAGCTGAGCCTTACGTCATTAAAAATATCCCAACCCTCTGCCTCCTAATGTAGGATTAAGCCAGGCCTGGAAATAGTTTTCTTGTTAGATCATGTTTTCTCTTTCTTCAGGGTCAAGCTAGAGTCAGCAATCAGAGTCAGATTAACAAAAAGGTCCCTAGTCATGATATAATAGGAAGGTACTCCCAGAGATCTCTTTGCTGAAAGGCTACACACTTGACTCTGACCAGCTGCTTACGGAAATGGTTAGAATGCAGAAAATGAGAGCAGAACTCTCCAAAGCACATAAGCATGTGACGGTGTCCATGCATACACACCCCCCCACGTGGCCAGAAACCACTGGGAACTGGGATTCTTTGCCAAAGACAGAATGGTTTCAGGAGATATATATGGCAATATAAAAGGTCAAGGCTAGTCTGAACTGCCTGGTGCCTCTGCAGACTTCTAATGAGAGTTGCAGCTGCGGATGACTAAAAAGCAGGGATGCTTAGGGCACTTGCATCTGAAGCCAAGGACTGAAATACTGCTGACATGCTCCCAGTCACTCAGCAGCTTCTGAGAGAGCACATGTTGTGCTGCAATCCATACCATTGCCTAGCACTTGTACTGTGTTCTGTTTGCTCTCTGTGCTTGTGCTGGTTGGAGTTTTCAGTAGATAGGGTATTAATCTGATTACACCTGGGCACTCCTTTCTATTGGCATCTATTTGAGGGAAAG